TGATGTTCACTCAAAGCCGACACGCACAACATCCAACACACGACGCATTTCCAAGTTTTAGATACCCCTGGAGATCTCGGATACTAGAATTAAAAGAACACAGAATATGAACTACATGAAACGTGTAAAGAAGTGAAAAATGGAAAAAGTCACTGGAAAAAATAAAATCAATTACCACCAGGTCTTGGAGAACCCAACTGAACTTTTCCATGTAAACTAATGATTTTTGTCAGCAAAAACATGCAGGTTAGAGCTGCAATGAACAGCTAACTGGACAAAGTCCTCTGGGGGGAGCCCAGAGAGGGGACATGGAGGCGGTGGGGATGGAGTGGCCCCTCAAAGATGCCGCAAGCTGCAGGACCTGTGAACGTGTGACCTTCCGTGCTTTAGCACAGGGAGCGTACCCTGGGCCATCCGGGGGGACACCGTCTAACGAGCAGAGAACGTCCTCCCGCTAGAGGAAAGGGAGATGCAGCAGGAAGGACAGTTGGGACATGAGGACCTTGAGAGGGGTCGAAGCTGCCTCAGCTAAGGGGCCACGTGGAAAGTGTGAAAGGACGTGGACCTCAGTCCTCAACTGCAAGGAGCTGAAACCAGCCAACGCCCTGGAAAGGCCAGGAAGCGGCCATCCCCAGAGGCTCCAGAAGGGAGGACAGCCCCACAGCCCCACTGGTTTGGGCCCTGGCAGACTCGACAGGACCCAGCGGAGCCAGGCTACCCCCAGGTGTGTGGCCTAGAGACCCGGCGGGCAGTAGCTGCTGCCGTGTTAGACTGCCGAGGCTGTGGCGAGTCCCTGTGGCAGCGACGGAAACTGTGACAGGGTGAAGAGTCAGGAGCCCGGAACAGGGTCTGACACGTGTCCACGTGCACTCCCCGAAGGGCAGAATACAGAGCCTGGGGGAAAGACTGAATCGCCTAAAAAGATAATGGCCGAGTATTTATTTTGGAACTCAGTTACAAAAAATCCATAAACAACAAAGATCTCAAAGGCAGCCCAAGGGAGCCCGGGACGGAATACTATCACCCAAAACAGCAGAGCTAGGCCGCGAAGGGGACCAGGGCTCCCCAAGACAAGAACAGAAACAGCGCTCAGCACGCCTGCGGCCAGGCTGCCCAACCTGCTGACCGCCACTGGCCTGACCTGGGGCGAAGAGAGAGCTGCGCGCAGCTCGGGGCACAGACCGGCGAGAGCCGCTCCCAGAGAAAGCGGGACGGATGGGAGACGCTCCGCGCGGGGCGCACGTACCACGTTTTTGATGACCTCGTCCTTGCCGTCATGCTTCTGGACCTTGAGGAGGTGGTAGCAGAAATCCAGCACGGCGAAGCGCCGCTGCTGCCCCAGCAGCACGATGACCATGCAGCCCGCCCAGTGCAGCCCGTCGCCGAAGCACTGCCTGGAGCCGGGGCGACGGCAGGAAGGGCGGTCAGCACAGTGAGCGCCGTGCGGGGCCCCACCAGGGGACACGGGCAGCACGGCTGCATCCCTGCTCCGGTCCCCCGGGCCTGCTTCCCGAGCATCTCTAGACCGTGGCCCCTCCATGAAGGAGACGCCACCACGCCGGGCACCTCCTGTCTGGGACTGGCCTGCGTTCCCAGGGGCCCAGCCCAAGTCCCCTGCTGCATATCCGGCAGCAGCTGCGCCCCGGCCTCCGCCCCGGCTTCCGCCCCCACGGCCCCGCGCACGAGCGTACTTACTCGACCGTGAACTCGTGTGTCCCCACGGGGATGCAGTAGACGAACTGCATGGCACTCCACAGCCGGTGGAACTCCACGCACTCGTCCACGTGCATGACCCCGTTGACGGGCAGAGGCCCACGCCACACAGGGTCGTCCAGGAAGGTCCGGACCCGCGTGAGGATGACCTCGAACATGGACAGGCCGCAGCAGAGGCGCTCCTTCGTCAGCAGGTCGCCCTCTCTCGCTATGGCGATTTGCTGCAGGGGGGACGGGACGTTACAGGAACACACTGGAGCTGGCGGCTGACCAAGCGCCTGGTCCCCGGGAAATGACCTCAGCGCGCCAAGGAGGGTTCTCATAAACACGCGTCAGCAAAGTGACCACGGCAGCTACTGCCGACGTGCCTCACAAGGCCAAATGTGATGCACAGTCAAGGAGAACTGTCCAGGACAGCTGTTCTTGGCCAGGAGTGACTTCACCCCAGAGAACATGTGACAATGGGTGGGAGACACTTTTGGCTATCAAAGCCTGGAGTGGGTCTAGTGGCATCCAGCGAACAGAGGCCAGGGACACTGCTAAACAGCCTACAATTCACAGGAAAGTCCTCAACAGAGAATTATCTGGTCCGAAATGGGACAGCGCCTGAGACCGAGGGACCCTGCTGAGCTTGGCTGGTAGCGGGCGGTGGAACTCGACCCCGCACCGGGCCTCCTGCCTGACAATGCACGTTGTTTTTAAAAACCTGTGAAAAAACTTTCTTCACAAAGGGATGGACAACAAAATTGGGTGACATTTATTGTGAACGTCTTACGTGCCACGTCATGTCAGCTCAGCCAAACCTCCCAACCGCCCTGTGACGAGGTCCTGTCCCAAACCCCACTTGAGACACTGGGGCCCAGGGCACGTCCAACCTCCCAGTGCCCCAGCCCCGCCCGCAAGAGCAGCAGCTGTCAGGGCATGCGCTACCTGAGGGGTCCCCAGCCGTTCGATCAGAGGGACGAGGTGCAGCGGGGCGTACTTTGACTCCAGCCTCTTCATTTTGGCATCAAGTCTCTCTCCCTCTGCAGAGGAGAAAATACGGCATACCGTCTTTTGTATGAAAAACGAGTGCAAAAGTTTCAATTTTTCCAAAAACCCAACGAAAGATTTTTAAGTCAATGTCGTACATACAGATTCTTTTGAAAATTATTTTATAGAACTGGTTCGTTTGACATTTAAATTCGAACCGACAGGCTAGTTTTCTATTCAATATTCACCTTCTGAAACTTACAGGAAACCCCAAATGTAAACGAAAGCAGAGAACAGGACAGCAAACCTGTGCATCCATCTGCCCCAACGACCTTCAACCTGGGGCCAGTGTCCCTGACCGCGCGCTACCTGACGCACACCGAGGCGCCTACCACTTCAGCCCTAAGCTGAAGTTCCAGTTTTCAGCAGCCACTCAATCTCGATACGTGACCAGTCGCCCCATTAGGGCTGGACAGGTGCCAAACTCAAGCAACACAGGACGTCAGT